GTAAATGGTGCTTTGGTATGAGTCTGTAATCATATACTATAAAGGTATTTATTAAAAAGTCTTATGAACTTTGATCTCGATGCATTATAGGGAAGGTGCTGATAAAGATACTGTTTATTGTAGTATAGTATCCCCTTTATGAGAATCCTCAGAAGAAATTCCTCTTAACAGCAAAGCAGCTGTCTTTTTCTTGAGAAATTTACTTCTGCCTTACACTATGGGCACTGCACAATGTGTACATGATTAGATGTCCTTTTTCACACTGGCTACTCAAAAGCTTAAATTTGTGGCCACAAGTATAGCAGTATATTTACCACATTAATCAGTTTTCATTTAGTGCTGGGCTCAATAAGTGTATTTTTATTCCTGCTCTCCTTTTGAGACTGTATTGTCACATATTATGTATCCTAACAAATCATTACTATCCTTTTTGAAATAAAGCTGGTAAGAGGCCAGGTGAGTTGAGGCTCAGACAGACAGGAAGGCTGAGCAGCAGGCAGGTGGGCAGAGGCAGGCAGGAGGCAAAAGGACAAAAAATAGGTTGCAGAAGTGGACACCAGAATTAAATGCAATTACCTATGGTTTTTTCCTACCTACTTGCTAGGCTTCAACAATGGATCCATATCTAAAAAGTAACAGAATAAAAGCATTCCAGGTCCTTCTCAATAAATATAAATGAACTCAACTCAGCTACTCAAAAGTAAATTCAGGAGGAATAATAGAGAAGACTGGCTAAGAGATATGCACCTAACTCACTTTTCTGGTGGTTTAATTTCTGATCGGACAAGACCTGGGGAAAGCTATCACATAATCAGAGCCACATGGATTCACTTTTACTGACTTGACTTTTACTGTTATATACTTGGAATATATCTAATAATCATCACAATAACTAGTCATATGAAATCCCTGTGAGTGTTATAAAATGTTGAGGACATTTTTCGTAATACAGTTTTACATTCTTAACATCAGAGGTCAAAAACTAGTGACCAATGAGCTGGATCCAACCAGCAAATATTTAAAAACTCTTGCAACATTTGCCAACAAATTTTAATTAGAAAAATTTACACACACGCAGAAATACATACTTCCTCATTTTAGGGACCCATAGCTGCAAAGGGGACAACACTGACAAGAGCTGTTAGCAACTACTCCTATTAGGTGACAGTCGTCCACAGTCCATAGGACTCCACAGGGTTTAAACCTAATGTATTTATTTATGTTGCCTGACAGTTTTGACCTTAGGTATAGTGCCTGTTTAAGATATGTATTTTAAAATGTATCGACAAGGTGAATTTTCTGACAAGAGCCATATAACACCTTGTGTTTCAGTTCAGTGCCAGTGCAGTCATCAGCAATACATGCTAGTACCGTATATGTACATCCTTTGTTAAATTCCGTTCTTATTTATATATTCGTTGTTAATTATTTCTTATAAAAATATGTCAAATCTTTTTT